TATATTAGTTTATCTATTATAAAATAGTATGTTTTATTTTAAGGGTCATCTATCTATGACATCCATAATTGAGTCGGTTATAGGCTGTTTCAGTTCAGTGTGTGGGGAGAAGGGTCCACGCTGTACCTTCCTAACTGCAGTATGCTTGTAGGTTATCAAAACAAAATGCTGTTATCATGTAAACATCATGTATATCATACATTTACACTTCTGTGTTCGCTTTTAAGGAACAGATCTTTTCTGTTGTAAATTAAACATTATCAAAACTTTAGAATTGGTGGAATTTAACTGTTAAGGGCTCGATTTGATTGTGAATTAATGTTGGTTCATGAAAAACAATTTCATTCGGGCATTTAAAGGAGGTTATAGTGGTATTGGAGGTAGGACACAATGGTTACCTTTATGCCAATAGTGGGTCATGCCATTCATTGGTCTGAAGCCAATATGTCGGAAGTCATTTTGTCAAAAGCCAATATGTCGGGAGCCCATTTGTCGGTAGCCAGTATGTCGTGAGCCCATTTGCCGGGAGCCCATTTGTCTTGAGCCCTTATATCGGGAGCCAATATGTCGGGAGCCGCTTTGTCGGGAGCCAATATGTCCTGAGCCTATTTGCCAGGGGTTAATATGTCGGGAGTCCATTTGTCGGGAGCCTAAATATCGGGAGCCCATTTGTCGGGAGCCTATATGTCGCAAGTCAATATGACGGGAGCCCATTTGACGGGAGCCAATAAGTCGGGGATCTTTTGACGGGGCTATTTTGACTGGGTCGTTTTGTCGGGGGTCGATTTGACGGGGTCAAATTAACGGGGCCGTTTTGGCGGGGCCGATTTGTCCCGGGCCGTTTTGACAGGGCACCAGCTTATATATATAGGCTATACAAAGGCTATATATATATATATATATATATATATATATATATATATATATATATATATATATATATATATATATATATATATATGTATATATATATATATGTATATATATATATATATATATATATATATATATATATATATATATATATATATATATATATATATATATATATATATATATACATAGTCCATGGCAGAAATCTTATTCCAGCCCAATAATTTACAGCCTGCCCTGAGATCGTCTACACAAACGTCGAAATTTGTATTGATCCAAGCTCTATGCTCATTCTTATCTGGGTAGGAAGTAGTTTGTATTTATTTTCCAACCAAGAAGGGTACTGCCGAGACCTCTCTATAAGAACCGAGTTACAGGGAGAGTCGGGTTATTCCATTATCTACGCTGTTACAATAGCTGGTAAGTCTGTGGGGACTTGGGGCTACATTTCTATGCTAGCTCGGTCTGGACAAAAATGACTTGTAGAGACCTACACCCACAGAGGCGGATGATTTAAGTGCATGACACTACGAGACTCTTCACCCCTTCCCGGGCTGAAGATTAACAGGAAACGACACTGTAAGACACTCCACCTCCCACCCACTACAAAGAGTAAGACCCACCCCTTCTGAAGTATTAAATTATATACAGTCAAAGTTACGAAAATAAACGACTTGAAGGCGTTTCACATTGATTTAACCGTTTTCTATGTCAATTTTGTGGCACCGAAATAGAAAAATCTAATAGGATAGTAACTGGTAAGAAGCTCCACAAACCTTTCCAATTTATTTATTTATTTACTTTCAAGGGGGGGGGGCGCTTTTTTCAAAAACAGGAATTACTATAAATAGGATGGGAGGGATAGGCGCAAAAATGTATATTCTGCCCCGGGTGCCGGAATTGGTCGCTACGCCTCTGCTACAGACCCTACAGACGCCTCTGATCTGGATCAGAGGGGAGGATGTCTCTGAATGTACCCAGATTTGATGAGAGCCTGACACGTTAGGGAAACCAAGGCGCCTTAGCAACGTGTTGACTACTCCATCTCTCTGTAGGCCGAGGTCTTTAAAACAGATGAGCTCTTGAGAAAAAAATGATGAATACACCACACGGAAAGTCCGATCCTTGATTACTACTGAAAAACTAGCCGCTAAGTTAGATCAACGGACACCATACGTTTTAGCAACGTTTTGTAAATGGCACACCTAACTCTGGAGGTTTGGAGCAAGAGGGAGATGAGATTGGAAGGGCACGCAGAGCAACGTGTCACGAATGGATTCAGAAGGTGAGATATGGCAGGACAGAGAACAGTTGGGAGGAGAAAATGGCCCAGACCGTAGTTGGTAGGAGACAGGCCATAAATAATTATTCATTAAATATTTCACCTTTCTTTTGCTTTTTGCCAGCAATTGTTTTCTTCTTTGTTCGTAATGTGCCTGCACTGGAGGTTCATATAATTAGTCCAACATCGCCACCCGAGGGGGGGGGGGGGGGGAGGGCAAGGGGTGGGGGAATTCTAAGTTCAATTCAGGTAGGTCTACCAATACCTGCATTGTTTGCCGAATATTTATATAAGTCGCACTTTCTCTCACTGAATATTATTAAACACCTTCTGAACATAACATTATATTGTTTGTGGACACTAAAAAAATATGTACTGAACATATTTATATTAGCTTTGCAACTTAATTATTGATAATACTTTTACAAAAAATCTGTTTGCTCAAACTAATAAAAAGTCCAATAGCTTTAGAGTGTATAAGATTTGAGTTATTGATCTAATTAAATCAATATATTTTATTATCATTATGTGACAGAAGCTCTTGGATTAAATGGAATTAAAAAAAAAATCTCTCCATTAAAGATTCATCGATTACAAAAGGAAACCACAAAAGCTATTCTATGGCTCTACATCTTTTGTGTTATGCCGTTGGAAGGTTTGTCTAAGTAGAGTTTATAAGACTAGCGCTGATACGGATTTAGAAAACATAGGTGGTTGGAAGTTGGCCGACTCTAGCGGCAGATCACTGTGTTGATTTTCATGACATTGTTTACCTCCCTTATGTAAAATATGATTAGGAATTAATTGTGAAGTTATGTCAATTTTCGGATAAGTGATGTAAGATAATAATATAACTTCGTTTAGAATTATATCAGAATAATATCAAAATCGTCTTGTTTTAATTAAAAATTTTAGTTTTCAAATACTTTTTGTATAACATCATTAGGAAGATTACAGGAAAAAAAAACAAAAAGTTTTTTTTGAACAGTTTAATTAAACTTGCCCAAAGTAACATAATGATTATCAATCATCAACCATCGACCAAAGTAAGAGAGTGACCATCGACCAAAGCATTAGTGACCATGGAACATTACCTAAATGGGAAGCGGATGACTGCTTTGGTTTTCCTTCTTCACTTAATGACTTCTGGTAAGTCGTTTGTTAAATTTTTAACTTGACAGGAATAATTAAAGAAGGCGAATGTATAAGTGTGTCTATGGTGATAATTTATTAATTATTTAAAATATGTAGATGCACGTTTACATAATAGACAATACCGAGATGTTGGCACAGAAGACAGAGCTACGATCTTTGGACACGTGGTTAAGCTCAGTGTTGCGGAACAGGTAGGTCCTGAGTTCGAATTCCCGGGCTCGACAGCTGGGGACAGCGTCCAGACTGTGCCTTCACGCAGTTGCGTTCTAAAATGTTTCTACTCTAATGTCCATTAACATTTAAAGCTAGTAAAGTTCACTTTAAAACTTGACGGTCTATGGGAGCAAGTGAAGTAGAGTTCACAATTTTTCTATGCGAACTCGGGATATGAAGGGATAGTATTGTTAGCACTATGCCCAACCGTCTTTACTTTCCATAACATGAATTAGGCACCCATTATAGCTGAGTGGACTCAGGGGCTTATTCAAATTCGAATCAGAGACTTTGAGGTTAGCAGTCGTATGTTCTACGATTTGACTAGTTCGTCCCACTATAAACCATCTGGAGAAGAATATTGCTTGTAAAATATCAAAATATCAGACTGGACTTTGTGGACATCTTTAAGACCCCTCATAAGTAATATGTAAAAAAAGTGGTAAAAGGCGGTTATCGATGTGATTGACGACACAAGGTAACAGTAACTCAATAGTAATACAGTAATTACATTTGGCCTGCAGTTCCCTGAGTTCCTTCAGCATTAATGGGTACTCAACTCCAATGGGCTAATGACATTGTAATGACATTGTTGACGTTACAATCCCATCATATAGAGATACACAAACTCTAATTTCGCCAGCAGTACAGTTATAAAGCAGAAACTGGGTCTTATTCTCTTGCAGGAACCACCAGCACTTCTAGAACCACTGTAAGCGGGTTCACACTTCTCACAAACCCGTACCTGAGGTTTGTGCCCCTGGGGGTAGATGTGGATGGGTCAAGTCCCATCAACTGTGCCAGAAACTGTGCGCACCGTTACAATTCGTGTTTTAGCTTTTTGCTCAATGAAACACTAAATACATGCAGTCTTGGTAGGTTTGATTTCAACTTTTATTTATTATATCCCTTATCTAAACTTTATTTCTTCTCGTCCAATTCTTAATTGAAAGTTATTTTCAATGAAATACCAGATGCTAATACTAGCAGGGGCGTAGCGAGGGGAGGGGGGGGGGCGGGGGGTGCGGACCGCACCGGGTGACACCATTTAGGGGGGGTGACACCAAGGCAAAAAATAGCAAAATATATAGAGAAAAACTTGAGGGGAGGGGGTGCAAATCTTGAAAGTTTGTCCCCGGGAAGGGTCGCTACGCCTCTGGGGGGTGACACCATTAAGTGACGCACCGGGTGACACCCGACCTCGCTACGCCACTGAATACTAGTGCTAATTTTATTTCCCCCTACAGAAAATCTGACCATTAAAATGACCAAAAAAAAAATGCCTGACTACAAAAATTTTATTAATGAAAAAAAATGACTTGACAAAAAATTTTTATGACAAAATTGACTATTGACATAAATGTTTATTGTAAAAAAAAAACCAAAAACAAACATCTTCTAAAATGCCCGATTACATCATGTTTTTTTTGCCTCGACACTTCTGCAAAATGTTTGACCACCCCCAGGCTCCTGGCCAATGCCCACATCTGTCGCCATCAGTCACATGACAACCTACGTCACCACACAGTTATGTAACACGGCGTCGAACTTCATTCTCCAACAAAATGGCAGCGTCAGTGTCTGCGTCAGAATGTCCTCCGCGGGCGTTAACTATACCGATGCTAGGGACGCTTGTCAGGGTAATGTTTACTTCATCAGCCGTGCAACGCTACTAGTGGAGAATTCAAGCTTATATATATATATATATATATATATATATATATATATATATATATATATATATATATATATATATAAACATACATACACACATAACTAATATATATTTTTAATAAATGTAATAGATTTCCTTCCACACAGTTTACTCCCTTCAAGCCAGGAGCTGGCTGTGTGGATAGGTTGCATGTTAAAATATACATGTAATACATAGTATTGCATACAAAATTTTACAATGTCATTTTCTTGATTTTCCTTCTGTTTTCTTTGTTTCATTTTTCGTGGTTTTCTGATTTCTTGTTTTCATTTCCGTTTTCTTGGTTCCAATTTTCCGTGTTATTTTGATTTCTTGTTTTCATTTCCGTTTTCTTGGTTTGTTTGATATAACATAGAGTACAGGACAATACATGATCGCTTCTCGTTTTTGGCCTTGCTTCTTGCGCGTATTACAATCTTGGTTGAGCAGTGGTTGATTCTTAGTTGCTAGTTGTAGTTTGAGTGTCAATGAAGTATGTTCCGTTATTGGGAAGATGAGTTTGGTGTCTTGTCATCGATGGTAGAGTTCATCGAGAGAATTAGAGCTTGGAGAGGGTAGTCGAGGTAGTGTCCTTTTGTTGCAATATAATTTTTTCCTAGGTTGCTTTGATTTATTGTTCATTGTCGAGAGAATGAAGATGTAACGTGAGGTTTTTCTTGCGTAGTCGAACGGGCGAAATAATGTTGAAGAATGTCTTTGATGGAGTGAAGCTTGGAGAGAAAAGTTGAGGTGGTGTCCTTGTGTTGAGATATCGTTTATAGTAGGTTGCTTTGAATTATTGGTCATTGTAGTTTGAAAGAGAGTAAGATTGTGTCGTAGGGTATTCTTGCGTAGTCGAATAGTTGAAATGGGCGAAATGATGTTGAAGATTGTTTAGTTTTCGTGGTAATGCTGTGTCGAAGATTGTAGATGAGAAGAAATTGAGAATGATCGAGTAGTCGAGAGCTTTGTCAAGTTGTTGAAATGGGCGAAGTGAGAGTTGCGTAATCGTGAAGTTGTTTGAGTAGTTGATCTATGAGGGATGTCGAGTTGATGGTAATTGACGGAGCCTCCCACCTAAGATTTCTCCTAGGTGGGTGTCGTCAGAGTGATAGTAAGATTGTTGATAGCGAGGTAGTTGTGTGTCGAAGTTTTGCGTAGTAGATATTTGAGAGATGATGAGTTCATTTGCTGGTATTTGTGACGGAGCCTCCCACCTAAGATTTCCCCTAGGTGGGTGTCGTCAGGCTGAAAAATAGAAAATTAAAAATTAGCCACTCGTACATTTGAAGCCACCCAATACAAGTACTGGGTGACTCATCTCGAGGGCATGTGCACTTCGAGGGATGTGTGGGCGCAACCCCACAGCGATCGATGGCGAGATTTGCAATTGATTGCTTGATGAGTTGAGTAGTAGATTTGACCGCCTCTCGACCCCGGCAGCCAGCCCTAAAAAGGGCTGACCAACCAAATGACTAAGATTTATGTAGACCCATAAAAGATACGACACTTTGATCTTAGCCAAAAGGCCGAGAAGCGATCATATATATCTAATATATAAAGTTGAAAATTATGTATGTATGTAATCATGTTTGTCGTGGATTACAAAGGAATTTAAGAAAATACGATACTTCCATGGATTCAAAAGTTAGATAAATGCATGGTTTAAAAAATGAATACTGAAAGTGTTGGGAAATAATTTTCATTTTTCAAACTAATTGTCGGCATGTTCATTAAACACAATTTTAAAAAATATCATCTTTTACAAAAATTCTAATTATGTCTGAAAATTATTTATATTTAGTCCTTTAGCACTTACTTCCCTTTGATAAACTAGGAAAATACAATTACTTCCCTTTAGAAAACATTGCATTAGTGGAAAAGAAATTACTTTTTATTACTTTGTTTTGGTGTTGGGAAAAAAAAAGAATTACATAATTAGCACGGATTTATCAAGTGCATTTGGTAGGCATTTTAAATTCTGCCTTTTATTTATTTCATACACTGAACGTACTGTTTACTAAATACTTTTTAAATTAAAAACATTTGACGTAAAAAAAAGACATCTTTATTCGGGAACGGGAATAGTTGCAGGTTATTATTTGTGTTTTTTTTTTTTTGCGCATTCGTTTGTGTCTGTCTTTTTTGCGCACAAAGGGGAATTCGTTTTGGTCGGTCGCACCAGAAAGCTCTTTTATAGAGACCTGCACCAAACTACAAGAAGATATACCATTTTATATATTAGATAATTATTTTTAATCAAAGACGGGTGAAGTAACAAAAGACATCTTTATTCGGGAACGGGAATTCCCGCAGGTTCTTAGTTCTCTATTTTTTGGCGTGTTCGTTTCTGTCTGTCCTTTTTTTTGCGCACGAAGGAGATTTCATTTTGTCGGTTTCACCAGAAAATTCTTTTAAAGAGACCTGCACCAAACTACAAGAAGATATACAATTTTATATAATAATAGCTCGCCTGGTTTGTGTTGTGTTGTGTTTATGTTGTGTTTGTTTTGTGTTTGTGTTGTGTTTGTGTTGTGTTGGTGTTGTGTTGGTGTTCTGTTGGTGTTGTGTTTGCGTTGTGTTATGTTTGTGTTGTGTTTGTGTTGTCTTTGTGTTGTCTTTTTATTGTGTTGTGGTTGGGTTTACGTTCCGAATTGGTTTGTTTTCGTTTGCTTTTTTTGTTTGTTTTTTCTTGGTATTTATGTTTGTGGTTGTGGTTGGCTTTGTTGTTCGGTTTTTGTTTTCGTTTGTGTTTGTATTTGTAATTGTGTTTGCGTTATGTTTGCGTATTTTTTTGTTTTGGTTGGTTGTGGTTAGGATGGGCAATGCCGGGTATATGATTACTACTAAACACACAGGTAATGGTCCTTAACAGACAGGTTTTTCACAGAAGCCAGAGCATATATATATATATATATATAAATATATATTTATATATATATATATATATATATATATATATATATATATATATATATATATATATATATATATATACATACACATATATATGCATATATGTTTATATGGTACGACCAAAGCACAAAATGAGGCCAATGTAGGAAATCACAACATACGCGATTGGGGCATATGGCCAATAAAGGAAGAACTTAAAATCAATAATTTTTGTACATTGGCCAGACAATACGCGAACTAACCGGGATGCTCTGGTCAATATTCATGAAGGTTTTCCTGTGATGGAGTTTGAGTTATTGTGACTAGGGTTTCATTGTAAATAATTCCGCCCGCCTTTAAAAAAAGGTTGTGATAAAAACAGTCTTTGTCATTAACCTCTGTCAGTCATCCATTTATGGAAAATACTTATGTATTGGGTGACGAAGATAAGAGAGAGAGAGAGAGAGAGAGAGAGAGAGAGAGAGAGAGAGAGAGAAGAGAAAGAGAGAGATGTGTTTGGGTGGGTTTATGTGTGTGCGAATGTGTCTATTTATGTGTATATATGTATGTGTTTGTGTCTGTGTATGTGTATAAGTGCTTGTGTGTGTGTCTGTTTATGTGCTTTTGTGTGTCTGTTAATGTGCTTGTGTACCTGTTTATGTGTATAATTGTTTGTGTGTGTGTGTGTCTGTTTATGTGTTTGTGTGTCTGTCATTACAGAGTAATAATCCACACTCATGATAGTTTCCAAACACCACAAAATGTGGGGTACTACTGTATCTGAAAGCTCTCTTCTGTGACGCGGAAGTGACACAATAATCAAAGAACACAATAAAAACATAGACAGTCAGCGTGGCAGAGGCCTAGCGGGGGGGGGGGGGGGCGGGGGGGGGGGGTGACATATGTCCCCGGGCGCCGACCTTAGAGGGCGCCAAGATGGGTAGGAAAAATAAATTGAAAGCTTGAGGGGGGGGTGTGCAAATCGAAATCTTGGGGGGGGGGGGTGCAAATTGAAAGGTTGTCCCCGGGCGCCGGGAAGGATCGCTACGCCTCTGCAGTGTGGTCGAGTCGGTAAAGCTCATTGTTGTTAAACCGAAAAAGTCTCGAGTTCGAACCCCGGGCAGCTGGGGACAGCAACTCATCTAGGAGAGACAACTCTAAAATCAAACAACTGCTGCCTTGTAGTTTGTTCTCAGCTGGAAAAAGGATTGAGAAGCAAATCCAAAAAGAAAAGTAGGCTGAGATCGGTCTCAACGGCATATATGGCGCATAACAAATTAACACGTCATACTTAATTGAGTAGCTGGGAATCCCATCCAACATTAAAAATTAAGAACGAATAAGAATAAGTCGGCGTCACCGTCCATGAGCAACAAGACTGAAATGTAAAAAAAAACACAATGCAGCGGTGCATGCTACCAGTGTAAGGTAAAGAATAGGATCCAAATCGATCCCAGATGACACAGGCGTATGAAACCGTAAGTCGCCAACAAAAGGGTTACAACATGTAGTAGATCGATCACCGTGCCTTGATTGAACTACGCAATAAACAATGACAAATTTACAATCGCATTCCTGTGTTTCGTATAGTATGGCTTATTTAGACAAGTTTTTACATTGCAAAATCTACTAATACTAGGCATGCTGCCCAGCTTCGCTTAGGCTTTCGAAAACATTGAGAATTTGAATGCTAACTTAATTCGCCCGAGGGTCGGTCTACGACCTCAGGAGTTATGAAGAGGTTCCTACGTGGACATTTTTTTTCGATTTATAGCTCATATAAGGCGCCGGTCAGTCGAGGTCAGGTTTGACCCCCTCATCGTAGACTTTTCGGCCAACCGGCCCCCGTGTTCTGTCGCCCCAAGGCAAGATCCTGCCAAATTTGAAGCGCCTGCGGCGCCGGGAAGTGCCCTATCGGGAACCCGACAACTTTGCTTTATATATTATAGATTTTAGCAAATTGCATAGATAAACAAAGATTTCAATCTAGGTAGGGTCTACATCTGTGTAAGTCTAGTTTTTCCGTAGATCTAGAATCCTAATAGAATTTTTTTTTAAGTTTAGCCCAAGCAAAATTGTATTGTATAAATTTTATAGCGTACGTAGATCTAAATAAAATTTGAATGAACTAATGAAATAGTTCATTTCTTTTTATTATAAACACGGCAGATGACGTCATTAGTTAATGTATAAACATTAGTGACGTCACTGTTTTATGCTTTCTTTTTCACAACTATAAACGCTTTTCCTGTTGCATAATTAAAACTGTTTCTCTACATTCGAATACGCCTTTATTATTTTTTTATCTTCTTTAAATAAAATTGTGGTTATACATTTAAAACATCTAACATATTATTTTCAACAAAAGTCTGTATAAAGATATCCATATATCGCTGCCGTTTCTGACGTGATGTCCGGCGAAAATATTTTGCGGACAGACAGACAGAGAGAGAGAGAGAGAGAGAGAGAGAGAGAGAGAGAGAGAGAGAGAGAGAGAGAGAGAGAGAGAGAGAGAGAGAGAGAAGTGCGCACATGGGCTATTATATATTAGGATATTTCAACACAGTTTATAGATGGTGGACATGTTATTCAACACAAAGATGTGTAACATTTAGCCCGACACCTTACACAAAAAACATTACCATTCAATAGATCTGCCATTCCTCATAATTTCTCCCAGCCCCATCGATACTGATCGAAAAAAAAGGTCTAGGATATTATCCCAGTTTCCAATTTCCCCCATGTTATTATTCCCTTTTTGGGGATACCCATTATCCATTTTATTTGTAAGTGAGAAGTCCAGCATAATATAAAATAAATGGATATGATAAAGAAAGACTAAAATGGGCTGACAGAGTGAAATATTACTCATATTATCTCTAGGCATTCGACACAATAACCAGCAAATCGTTAAAAAAAGCTATAAATATATTAATAACAAACTGCTGTGTAAATGAGTTTGATCTTGTAAAAAACGATAATTGAGACTCACATTTTTACAAGGGTAACATAATTTGACTGATTTTGTAATTTACTTTAATTGATTATCTATGTAGGCCTAATTTAAATTTTCATAATCTTACAAACACCAAACATCTGTTCATAATCTTCTTATTCGGATTTTGGCCATTCACCTCTAGCCCGGTCGCGAACTGGCTGGCCAACGTTCATAATCAAGAAACGTTATGTACGTTGCCCGTTCGACCCTAGCCATCTCGCTATACAAGTATGCCTACGTATATATATATATATATATATATATATATATATATATATATATATATATATATATATATATATATATATATATATATATATATATATATATATATATATATATATATATTTATTTATTTATACATTTTTGTTTTCAATTATATACTGCAAACTGTTTCAGAATTTGGGGGTAACCTCTACACAATAAAGACACAAGAAAAGCTGAACATCTTGAAGACGATCGCCGGTACATTCCGCTTCAACTTCTGGGTAGGTCTGGATGACATGGAGACGGAGGGCGTGTTCAAGTGGGTGGATGATGGCACCACACTTACCTACAACTGGACAAGAACAGTATTTAACGTTCGTATGTAGCCTACTCATGAATCTTACACATTTTGAATGAGGTACATTTCCGTTTACAGTGACGTAGTCAGAATTTAAACGGGGGATGCATTCAAAAGTTTCCTATATATACAAGTGTGAAGTAATAAACGTTGCGCACCTTTGTATCTAAATCCAAGAAAATTTCCTTTATTATTATATAAACAAAGCGGGAGTGATCTCCCGTAAACTGTCTAGAATATTCTAATAGATCACTACGGTGGATGGCAAATCGGGACATATATATGCTTTTAAATCAATTTTTACATACTTAACTTTTTAAAATACAAGATAATATCTTGGAAAAAAGAATTGCGCACCAAGTGAACAGCAACCAATACGTGTATAATAGTGCGAAACATTAGTACTTTAAAAATTCATGTTTTTTTAAAAGAAATTGGAAATAGCTTAAAGTACTACTTCCGGTCACCGGAAATTACTCAAAATTTGTCAGAATAAAAATAATTACTTATAGGCTAATGAAAAACTGAAACTAAAATAAATTCCACTTCCAGTTACCGGAAATCGTTAAAAAGTTGAAACAAATCTACAAATTTGTAATACTTATATATGAAATTTCATCAACCTAACTGTAACTGTACTCAAGTTATCGTGTTCACAGACACTCAGACACACACAGACACACATACATGATTGCAAAATTAAGTTTTTCCGACCCAAGGAGGCCTAACATTTCCAGATTTGTGGAAATCTAGATTTCGATTTTTTTGCACAACTACAATACTTCGTCTATACTCCGTATACTAGAAAGTAAAAAAGCCTGTCGGAAACTGGTTACAAGGATGCTTAAAATGCCGAAACCCCCATTCTGTTTTGGAATGCATGGCCAAATACAAAATCATAGTTGTAGCCAGTTATGACTGTATGACAGGGAGAAATTAAAGATAGAATGTAAACAGAAACTGTTTAAAAAATAATTTTTATTTTATTTTATTTTATTAGACCAGCCCAGCAATGGCTACCCAAATGGAAATGAAGACTGTGTGGAATACAACCAACTTTACAAGCCTCTAAACGATGTGAACTGCATCATCATTCTCAAATATCTCTGCGAAAAGAAAGTTCTTATTCCTTAATCAAACGAAATTATCCTCTTCTTACTGTATAAAAAGTATAGTTTTAAAGAATTTTTTGTAGGTCTATAGTATATAGATTTAATGAATCTTATCCACCAAGGCACTACATGTTCAGCTTTAAAATACGGGAGATGTAGCCTGTTTATTTATTGTTGTAATATAAAGAAAAACTAAATAAAGTTCTCAATTTTTCAAACATTTTTATTGTTCTTTTATACGTCTTAGTGTTGTTAGTGCTGTCATTGATGGGTATTGATCGATTGTGTAATTTAAAGTAAAAATAACTAATAACCTACAAACATATGTATTAATTTATTGATAATTTTTTAGAAAATAATAAATTCTAGTTAATTTTGGGTATTTTTTTTACTTTCTCGTTTAGGAAAATTTGAAGGAGCATTGTAATCGGGCAATATATATATATATATATATATATATATATATATATATATATATATATATATATATATATATATATATATATATATATATATATATATATATATATATATATTCTGTTTGCGCTTTTTTCTGTGTGCGCTTTTTTCGTCGCGCATCTATCTGAGAACCGGTGTGCACATGTTTGGTATTCAGAAAATAAATAAAATAAACTTGTGATTAAAATGTTAAAACATTGGCTTATCTTGTTAAAACCAACAATTATTTATTAACCTGAAAGTGACTATTGTTTGTAGTAGAAAATCATGCCCCTTAGGCTGCTACCCTATCCTTTATCCGCCTCCCCCCTTAAAATAGAAAGTTCCCTTTTTGAACCTGAATGTACATAAGGGCAGGTGGAGAAGAGTTCTCCTGTATTTGTGACCTCGGCATATGAAGGGATAGTGTGGTCAGCACTATCTCCAGTCAAATTGCCACTACATCATACCATGACCTGTCTAAACTCACCACTACATCATACCATGACCTGTCTAAACTCACCACTATATCATACCATGACCTGTCTAAACTCAACTTGCCACTACATCATACCATGACCTGTCTAAACTCACCACTATATCATACCATGACCTGTCTAAACTCAACTCGCCACTACATCATACCATGACCTGTCTAAACTCACCACTATATCATACCATGACCTGTCTAAACTCAACTCGCCACTACATCATACCATGACCTGTCTAAACTCACCACTATATCATACCATGACCAGTCTAAACTCAACTCGCCACTACATCATACCATGACCTGTCTAAACTCACCACTATATCATACCATGACCTGTCTAAACTCAACTCGCCACTATATCATACCATGACCTGTCTAAACCCAACTCGCCACTACATCATACCATGACCTGTCTAAACTCACCACTATATCATACCATGACCTGTCTAAACTCAACTCGCCACTACATCATACCATGACCTGTCTAAACTCACCACTATATCATACCATGACCTGTCTAAACTCAATTCGCCACTACATCATACCATGACCTGTCTAAACTCATCACTACATCATACCATGACCTGTCTAAACTCACCACTATATCATACCATGACCTGTCTAAACTCATTACTACATCATACCATGACCTGTCTAAACTCACCACTATATCATACCATGACCTGTCTAAACTCAACTCGCCACTACATCATACCATGACCTGTCTAAACTCAACTTGCCACTACATCATACCATGACCTGTCTAAACTCATCACTACATCATACCATGACCTGTCTAAACTCACCACTATATCATACCATGACCTGTCTAAACTCAACTCGCCACTACATCATACCATGACCTGTCTAAACTCAACTCACCACTATATCATACCATGACCTGTCTAAATTTAAATTGCCACTACATCATACCATGACCTGTCTAAACTTAAATCCCATTAAATCTCATTATAACCCGTTAAAACCAGATCACAAGTCCCTTCTCTTCCCAGCCCATTCAATATTTATATCTGTCCATCAACCATAAAACCTTTCTAATCAATACATTCTGCTCGAGAGATAGGCCTACAATAGTCTCATCGCATACACTTTAATCTAAACAAACACGAATTGTTAATGCTAAAGAAACACGAATTGTCAATGCTAAAGAAACACGAATTGTCAATGCTAAAGAAGCACGAATTGTCAATGCTAAAGAAACACGAATTGGCAATGCTAAAAAAACAAGAATTGGCAATGCTAAAGAAACACGAATTGTCAATGCTAAAGAAACACGAATTGTCAATGCTAAAGAAACACGAATTGTCAATGCTAAAGAAGCACGAATTGTCAATGCTAAAGAAACACGAATTGGCAATGCTAAAAAAACAAGAATTGGCAATGCTAAAGAAACACGAATTGTCAATGCTAAAGAAACACGAATTGTCAATGCTAAAGAAACACGAATTGTCATTGCTGGCTAAAAATAGAATCATATAATATATTAATTATATTTAAAGAGAAACGTCGCGCTATAGACCGTAGTTCCCCCCCCCCCCCTCCATAACTGTCCTTTATACCCATACCATGTAGTACGGTTGTGGTGGGGGAGTAATTATCTAGGCTTAACCAGAATGGGGGGGGGCACTTGAAAACTTCGGGGGGGGGGGGGGCGGAGTAAATTTTACGAGAGGGGGGGGGGAGGCAGACACTGTATATTTTCTATATAAATTCCATTTCATTCTGAGGGCTATAGACTTTCTTCGGGAGGGGGGGGGGGGGGAGAAGGAAGACTGTGCCTCCACCCCGATGAGATGCCTGAAAGAAGCTGTGGTCTAAACCCAAGAGTCTGAAGTAAAGAAGTAGGCCTATATTTCCATAGTTACATTATCTCTGTTGTTACACTATTTTATCTGATCTTTTGTAGATGAAAGGAATTTTTAATTGCTCAAACGCAGCGCTACATTGAGCGATAAAAGTATTTTAAAATGTTGTTCTCGTTTTGGTATAGATTAAAGTAAAGATTACGGTGTTAGTTTCGTATTTCCTCTCATGTTATTCTGTTATATTTCTCCGTCTCTTGATTCTTTTGTACCGTTTTCTGGGTTATTTAAAAACTTTTTACTGTAAAACTTCTCTTTGTTACCATCGTTTCGTGTGTGGACGCGTTTTGTTGTGTATCGATGTTTGTTAATCACCATGTACATTGCTCAGTTTGTTGAACATAGAACACAATATGTAGAGAACAGTCTCTGGCTACACGTCTAATCATCTGGCCTCTTTCTCAGTAACTGCAGATTGCAAAACTTTACGTAAGGTTGTTAAACGACAAACTTTGTCAAAGTCTCAATTTTGATTTTTTCATAATAGAAGTACTTGATTAATAATTCGTATATGATAAAGTAGGGAAGCTCGACGGAAACTGTCAAAATATCTGTTAACTATTCAGCTCAATTTCAAACCTTCCTCTATACTTTGTATAAAGGCAGAATATCGCAAATCTATATCTTTAAAATGAAGAGCTGCATTATTTTCTACAATTCAACTAAGCTAAAATGTGTTAAAAGTTAGTTTTGCTTTGATATTATGGTAAGGTTTTATGAAATCGAGGTTTATAAGACTAGAATAACATGAATATCACACAAGGAGAATCAAAGATTGTGGGCGACAGTAATTAAATAATAAATCCCCCTATTGATTCAATCTAAAAACAAATTTACTTTATTTTCCCTTTCTCAGAATTTCTTCTTGCGTAGTTCTTTGTTCGATATTTTGTTGGTTGTTCCCCTTTTGTGTTGAAGACTGTACCTAATCGGTGCCAACTCCTTGAACATTTCCTTTTCCAGAAAATCGTTTTGTTTAGATAAAAAAATATTGACCATCAATTAGAACCATTGACAGTGGCATATCCGCGGGATAGTGAAGCTTTGATAGTTTTTAAGAAGCGTTAATTTTGTATGAGTTTTAAGGTTTTTACACTTCACAGCGAGCACTCTACTGGTTGAAGTTGGTACAGGCTAAGGCTGTTTACAAGTGGGTTTAAACGTTTTGTCAAAATTTCCAGTTTTAAATTACAGACTCGTTAGTCTGCAGCTGGATGGTTAATGGAACGCATTTTTGAAACACTCTGTGAGTTAGTTTTGTATGCAAGTCTTAGTATCTTGGTTCCTCAGAGCTTCAAACATAACATGAGACAATGATGCAAGTACAGTCATTCCAGCCAAGAATTTTCTGTTGGATCTTCTTATGTAAGTGATTTAGGACTATAGCTTATATATATATATATATATATATATATATATATATATATATATATATATATATATATATATATATATATATATATATATATATATATATATATATATATATACATATATATATATATATATATATATATATATATATATATATATATATATATATATATATATATATATATATATACACATATATATATATATATATATATATATATATATATATATATATATATATTTAAAATTGTATATAAAATGCACTATTGGTATTGTAAATTAGGCATAGAAATTGTGCACATCAGTCATATGTTCCAACTTTTTAAATATTGCTTTCCTGACATTTTATTAGTTGGAAATTTTTAGTGACTTCGTTACGGCACTTGGGTAAAATTCAATAAAAGTAACATGCAAATCATGGAATGATTGCGAAGTTTTGAGTTTTGTGTAGTTTTGGATATAATTAAAGTAAATTATTATAACTACTGCTAAAATATATTAATGTAATTTAAAGTGATACGCCAGTAAAGCGGTTTTTTTTCTTCAAATTTTTAGTTTTAATTAAAACGTTTTATTTCCAATCAATTTAATATAAGATATATGACATATTTTCAAGAATACAGTAAGTAATTAACGGTCTTTTAATAATCAAATGAATAAACAGAGTGATCGTCAATTATCAACCATCCACACACAACCACTGACTCAAACAATAGAGTGACCATTGACCACTGACCAAATCTAGAAAATAACCATGGGCAAACATTTCCTGGTAAATAAAGCTGGTTCACGGCTGACTGCTTTGGTTTTCTGTCTTCACGTGCTGTCTACTGG